GGCTCTCAATACCAAAGTGCTTTGCAGTTTTTTCAAATCATTTCCTCTGCGTGCAAATTCAATTATTTTCCGTGGGGCGTTTGCCCTGGTGAAGGGATAGGATCTTTTCTGTCTATAAGAATTAACGTTCTCCATATTGCAAATGCGTGTAGCTGTAGGTAAGGTACAACAAAAAGTACTGCCGCCTATCGTGATGTGCTTTTATAGTCCCATTGCTAAAGAATAGAACGCCGCATTACGGAGCTATGGAGATCATCTATAAAAATCACAATTATAATGCCAACGGTAAATTGCTTAGCATTCTCACGCCTTGAAATAAATGAAAAATTGACATCACAAATGTAAATGACTAATGCTCCGTATATCCACTTAAGGTGAGCCCCGTTCATGCGATGTGGATATATCACCTGACCCATACCGTTCACATTCGTTCACCTCAGAATATTCCAATACTTTTTGATTCGCTTACAGCGGTATGAGTAAAGGTTGTGCGTCAAGAATAAAGGACTAAGGGTCTTGACTAAAGCAGNTTTTGGCTAAATTTTGATGGGCAAAGGTGTATTTCTGGATGGTACGTTGTGGCGAAATGCACCTGAATCCAAAATGTTCGATTTTTCACTACCAAGTACTTAAGTAATACATTCCTTGTTTACGAACCTATCACTCGTTCTCTGTACATGGATCATGGGCATACTTGTGCGATTTGTATTCACGAATTGTGGCCTAATCTACATTTTGGGAATATAATAGTATCCATTGATGGTATGGCAGAGTTCCCGGTATCAAGAAAAAGGGAGGCGATGTACCGACTTATATCAGTACTTTCTGGTTCATCAATTCCAATATTTTGTTTTGTTTCTATTGATCTAACAGCCTCTTCTTCAATTTTCGCTACATAGAAATACTTATGTACAGCCTCGTTGTGTATACAAAACTCTCAGTTTCACATTTCCTTATGCCAGACCGGGAGGACGTTTCTTAAATGACTTTCGCAAATTGAAAATAATCATCGGTCCTTCTTTCACTGTGTTTTGTTCTGACCGACTTGGATGTTTCTCAAACAGAGGTTGCTGTTTTGGAGGAAATTGTGACAAATTGACATGAAAAGTTTCCGCTTAAACTATTCCGTTACTGACAGTTATTAGCTCACGAAAACTAGTCACATTTAGATCCATCTCCAAAACATTTCACTTGGATGCGTTGTTCTTTGTCTTTAATGACACATGTGCAGTGCATTCTTGTGGCACTTCTGCGAACCATGCTATTTTCGTTGCTGAAATAATGGATTCGAGTTCCGGCATATGCTGTCCCTTGGAAACTTTGTTCCTGTCCAAATATCTCTTCCTGACATCAAACTCATCAGATAACAAACAAGGAACATCTTTACAAACCCTGGATGTATAATGCAATTAAACTAATAAGTGTGTTCTTATACTTATCATATCCTAAGTATTCACAGCATCCAACATTATTGGAAAAGTTTTCGGAAATGATTTGGAGCGGAACCACATCCATCGAGTTGCGTTGTAGGTGTTGAAGTTACAAACCGAGCATTTAACCACAAAATGTGAAGTTCTGCAGTTTCATGATACTCACATAATCTCATTTTCTAGAGGAATGTCAAAACTCCCATGTGCAGTTAGAATAACTATAGGTATCGAATCTGATAGTCCATTGACATCTTTTGAAAAGCCAGGTTCTGTTGCTCGGATAAAAGCTAAAACCTTTTTTCTGTACATGCCATTCTGTTTGTATTCCATTCTCATTTGTTAGAGAACCGTCAGTATTCCCATTGATAACCTTTGTTACTCCATTATTCACTCTGAGAATTCGGATTTCCTCATTCCGGCTCTCCCAGGTTACAGTTTGCACATGATGCAATCAGGTCCTACGTGGATACCGTTGCTTCTCTAGTTCTTCGTTTAGTTAAACCTGCGGACATATCAGCGTAATTTGAAAGATGTCCGTTCTTGAATGTTTGATTCATCTTTAACTCTGTTCCAGGTTCCTTCCTCTTCGGATGCTGAACACATTGACTGCCTAAAGCTCCATTTTGGTTGATTAATTAACTTCTTCTTGAATAAACTGCCATACACGTGATATGGTATGAAAACACTCAAACAGTTCATGGATATTTCAAGAGTTTTTCTGGGAGTTGTAGCTCCATCCTTGTTATTTCCCATAAAAATATCACTGACCTGTCAAAACGTTTTCCAGTTCAATTATTTCAACATTTCAATGATGTAGCTCGTTGCAAGGATATCTCCGTATCTGAGTGCTTTCAGAATGTTTGCAGTAATCTTCCGTTTATTTGTGATCGTTTTGTTAACTTCAAAAGAGTTTATCACAGTAATTCAAGAGAACTTTATTTTCCCTTGGTTTACTTGTCCCCAAAATCCTGATATTCGAAGTACAGATCTTTTGACTACAGTCGATTCTGAACGTGTATCTATTTCTTTTCAGCATTAAATTGTCTTATTTTGAAATTCTTCTTTATGTAGATTTTGTTAAATGTTTACCAGTACTCATCAAAACAAATTTCAAGTGAACGTCTCATGGTACAACCGTGTGAAGAAACTTCAATGACTATCTTTGGAAGTACGAAAACCCCAATACTAAAAATAGAATGATTTCAATTTATGGTTATCTGTGCATTGTCCTTGATTTATTTTATTGTTTCCCTATAGATTTCGCAGTTTTACCTAAAATGGAATTCAATCAATCGTGTTTTTTCTACACTCTTGATGAATAATGTACAAAAATGTGTGAATTACACTTGTCAGTATGGGAAACACTTGCGGGGTCTATTCAAGTGTGACTCTCACTCCTTAATATGCTGTCCGCATCTTCTCTCTGCCCCCAGCTTTGACGATGTTATCAATAACATTGATCCTTATCTCTCTCGCTCTCAAATCTTCAAAATTGGGAATGTTTGGGCATAAGCCTTTGGACTTGTGTTTTGATGTTACAACGGGCTTGTGCTCGATTATTCATCAAATTTTGGAAGTTAAGCTGCCAAAAAAATTAAATCATGCTCAGTTTGTATCTCATTGCTTCGTTTTATGTCTCACAGCAATGAATGGCGTACTTCAAAACTTGAAAAGTGTAATCTTTTACTGTTTTGGTTAGCTTTCATGCATTCAAAATGGGCATTTTAGGCTTTGAAATTAATTTGCCATTAACCTCTGTTAGAATCCCATTAGATTGCAAGCATCTTTTACAAGTCCCGTGAAACATTTCTTTCTTTGAGTATCACTTTGTCAACTTTCAACAGAACGAACATAAAACTGTGTATATTTTAAAGATGTATAGGTTCAACGAATCCCAATAAATCTGCCGTTAAAACAGCCACAAAAATTCGTGGTTGTTATTGAATAAAACACTAACCGATTGCCCTAAACAAAGCAGATAATGTTTGTGTGGGTTCAAAATAAAAAACGGGATCTGTATGGCAATAGAGCTTCAATTGAAACAAGAGCTGAACAAGAATAGGGTTCCTGGCAGTCGAATATTTTACCATTTCTGCGTGATACACACGCTTTATTTGTTTAACCCTTATTCATTCAGTGATCAAATCAATAAGAACGTTTTGATTGAAATAGGTTTGGTAAGTAACAGCAAATGATAAACGCAAAAATGCTTTATTTCGTTCTAGCTTTAAGTCAAAAGATGAGGTACTCTTTTGCTTTAGTATTGTATTGCGCAACTGCGTGAAGAGCCTCTTGTGTATTGTGAAGCAGTATTGTGTCGAACTACTGTGGATGTCTTTATCATTCCAACTTTGACTGCTGTATCGTTGTAACGTATCTGTTGTAACGTAAACTGTTCATATTATTTTACCTTGAAACGCTTAATATTTTGAGAAAAAGATAATGAGAAATAACTGATTTTCGAGCCATTCCTCAAAGCATCGATAACCGGAAGAATAACAACAACAACATATTATTTTGTATAATGTCCCACAATTAATACCTAGCGGTTATCTTCACGAACTACAAGCTTATTTATTTTAGAAGCGTTTAACCATTACACCCGTTTGACGTTCTTGTTTATGCTCATCTGAAAACAGTTGTCATTTGATTGTCCTTGAAACGCCAACCGAGCAAAAGGCCCGAATGATTCCTCATTTAACAATGTGTTAAAAGTTACCCGTACTATACGTGATCATAAACCACAGTGTTTGACAGAAATAGCCAATGAAAACGATTAGAGTAATAGTGTGAGGTGCAAGAGGATAAGCAATATTTGTATTACGTATACTATATAAATATATGCCATACATCAATAATTATAATTGGAAATACTTAGTACTTTGTCCTGGAGAAGCAAACTACTGAAGTCCATTTCTGAGAGGTGGTGTTTTAAGAGGATAAGAATTCCTGGAAAGAACTCTGAAATGCTGATTTCTTGTCTGTTAAAATAACGATCTTTGCGTTGTCCTGCCAAGAAACTCTGGAGATTTGAGGTTTACAAATCGAACAATGGTTCACATTTGAAAGAAACAATTCATTGTGCTCTGTGGAAACGATTTGCTTCATTATGGAATTTATACAATGGAAGAAGTATGTGTTTTGGAAATTTACGGCGAGTTTTAACGGAGGGCGTTCTATCGGTTGTTCTGATTGTAAAAGCTTACTACGTCGATGTTACAAAAAGATGCGTTTCTCTGCTCATCGGTGACTGACGTCTCTAGTGGAATCTTGTACAAACGGACATATTGACGTTTATTCGTGCAGTCATGAACACAAGCACAAAAGCGCGCGCGCACACACGCACGGACGCGCAGAAGCACATTAGTCATATAATTTTTCTCATCGTGGTCTCTGTAGTGGGCGTTTCTGAACGCTGCTGTGTTGTCCAACCGTGAACCAAACTGTTTGTCTATCACGCTGATTGGTTCAAGCGATCTATATAACATTGTTGAGAATGACCTGAGCAGTCATTCCTCCGAGAGCGTTTGCCCAGATTGCTAGTACACACTCGGTCTAGCGACGAGAATCATGCAGACCCAGCACAAATTTGTCGTCCTTCTATTCCTCGGTTTGATCTTGAGTGAGTACCTGTTATTACGTGTGTTGACAGTTTGAAAAATCTTTCATAGGCTGCTTTCTAGTAATTTTAGTCTATGTAAGGAGTGTTGCATTCAGACACATTATGAAGCAGGTCACAAATTACAAACGATTTATCACCTTTTCACCTTAAAACGTACGATAACATTAAAAATGGGAAAAAACCTATAACTATGGTCTCAGCGATCGGTCATTACGTATCTTGATTTTTATTTGGGGGAAACTTTTATAAACCTTCAATGAGCTGGTTTATGTATGATGTCATTTTCTGTAAGTGAAAAAATGATAATGGATACAAAGGATAAAGTCGACTAATAATCCAACAACAAAAAGTTGTTTTATTTCATTTTTACGAAAATAGAATTGCCGTTTATTGTGGTTATTTCCCCTTACTTAATTCCTATGATTGCTTTACAAAAAGTACTATACAAAATTGGATCGATAGTTAAATCCCTGGTGTATAACTGTGGCACCTTTATCGTAAAATTAGGACATTTTGTTGACATAACATAGTTTAGGTGTACAAAATGTAAACAAAATCAATTCCGCCAAACATCACAATATGGCAGACGAACCTTGTTTCACTGTCCTACATTTTAAATGAATATTTATGTATGTATCTTTTCTGTCTTAAAACATAGAGAGTGCATTGCCGATCTTCGTAATGAATCAACAATTTACACTGGTGACCGAACATTGTATGTTCTATGTTAAATGACGGTAATTAACATAATAAATATTATTGGTTATTTGTGATTCACTATCTAAACGTTTACACGAAAAACTTCTTGTTTAATTTTGAAAACCCACTTTAGAAATCTAACAATTTGTGCGTCGATCCTTTGCTCGATTTCACTGATTACGTACAAGACACAGTAAATAGTTTTGCACAAAATATGCGCTCACCAAGTTCATCTTCGTTTCAGGTATTGTATCTTTCACACCTACCCTGTCATTTGACGACGCCATGGAAGCGTTTTATAACGATGAAAACATGTCGGAATATGAGCCTGTGGTGATCTATCGAAAACGAGGTTTGCGACAGATGCGTATGGGCAAACGATCACCTCATGGTCTTTGGTCAACCGAAGGTCGTCGAGGAGGACGTACTTTGTAGAAGGGACTTGCAGCAGGAGAGAAAAATAACGGAAAAGAACTCAAATCGAATAACAGCCTCACAGATTTTTACCTTCACATCCTTCTCCCCACCGCCTCATTTTGTGCTCTGCAATTCTCACAAATTGCTGGACAGACAGACTGACGGACTGATGCATAATAGGCAGAAATGTGTTCGGTTTCTGCTCCCCAGTGCTCTATCGCTTGTTGTGCTTGGCGGTGGGATTTGATCGATTGATGGTGAATTCATCCTTCTTTCATTTTTTCTTCATCAAAACCCATTGTGAGTTTCCTTTTGATGCAATAAAGCAATCTGTTTCAATTGATGACTTACTTCTATTTCCACCATACCCCACCGAATCATTACGGTTATCATGACAGCCTATACGAAATTAAGGCTTGTTGAAATCATAAATAAATCGTTTGCTGATTCCTCAATGTGATCACAGTAAGCTAAAGTAAAAGTGCAACTTTGTTCAATAGCTGCGCACTGTTTCCTAAACATATTGCAACGTGTCTGAGGGGTGCTAGGTCACATTTGACTCATGTGTCATGCCTGATGAAACTCGTGTATCTTTTCGACTCAAATCGTTAACCCTTGTTTTGGGGAATTCAACATGGGATTGTATGGTCCAGAACGAACATCTTAACCGCATGTTACTGTTCGTTTGTCACTTACAGCTGAAATTTTACATTATCATTCAAATTCAATGGCACAAGGAACTTCAAATGATTTTCTCGTTAACATTAAACATTCAACACGTGAGGGATAAGACAATTCCAAACATGTTCAAATTACTTTTATTGCAGCAATCAAAAGGTTGACAAAACCGTGCACAACATTCTGAAACTAAATGAGGAGTTGTGAATTCTCCGCTGGATGTATTCGAACGTGAACAGTCAATCAAAAATATTTTGTCTAGGTAAATTGTTTTGATTCGGGGATTGAAAAATGCGGCCGCTATGCTTATAAACACACAAACCAACTGTCAGTCAGAAAATTACGAGGCGGATAGCCTCTGTCCGTCGGCAAAGGGGACGCGGGGGGGGGGAGAGAAATGCACAATCAAACCCTAATAAAACAAAATAAAGGTCTTGATGACTTGCTCTAACGAACAGTTTTTAGAAACTACACAACCTGATTATTTTTAGTTATTCACATTGGAATTTATAGCCTAAGTTGCACGATGGACCCGAAACGATAAGTGATAAGTTCCAATCGGATGCGACTGGTAATATGCTGACACCTGAGAAAGAAATTAATCGAGTGATTATGGTTATTAATGTAAAACTGCTCTCTATTGTGGACTAAATTGAAGTGCTCAGTGCGTAACACAGTGAGATTTTCCCCTGGTAAATTGAATGATTATATCGGTGATGCGAAAAGTTTCCAAGCTAAACTTCTATACAAATTGCTGGGGAATGTTATGATATAAAAGAGAGAAAAATTCAAGTCTTTTTTCAGATTGTTTTTCATTTTAGTAGATTAAGTAAAGGTATAAGAGAACATGATGTGGAGTGGTCAACGGAAGCATTGTCCGGGGAACATGTTGTCGGGCTGATGCACATCACCCAGTGAGTGGGGGTTTCACTGAATTCATGTATACCATTTTGGCAGTAGGAAAAGTAATGTACCAAGACGAATGATAGACACGAGGAGGAACACAGTTGAGAAAAAGCGAGTGAACATGACTGGACAATTAAAACCTGAAGATCTGAGTCAGTCTATGAAACAATAGGAACCGAATCATAAGGTCTTCTCGTACACTGGGTGGATCAGAAACGGGGAAACTAAAGGGGAACGAGGAAAAGAATTGCTCCTTGAAAATTTGCTAAGGCGCGGGAAAAGTACTGAATTGTGACCATGTAATCAGTAAATGCAGTTCTATCTACGAAGTTTCTGTTTCATGATAAACCACAATTTTGGGTAAAAAGAAAATAGCATGGAACAAAAATTACAAAACCTGCTTTCTATGGGGTGAGGGTGGGGGTGGAGTGGGCAGCGACCACATTGATCCAATCAAGAATAAACAGAGCTTACCCCCTCCCCCAAATGATGATCATTTTCAGTTTTTGAGGTATATAAATTTTAAATTGTAGTTTGTTACCATACACATTATCAACAATACACGTTCTGTTTTCAAAATGTCCACTGTTATGAGTTTCTATTCGATGATGAAACGGGTCAGGCCCGTGAGTATAGCAACAAGACAAATGATAAATGGCTAAATTATTCACAAAACCAAGCCCATAATACCTTGCATATTTCAAAAGAAAAACCTGATACGAGAAGCTCTAAGCAAGCATCATAAGGTAAACTTTTGAATTTCGATATTTGTTATTTTAAAAGCACCACTGATGTCATTTGATTTTTCAGAGTACGATTTGAAATAATTTGTTAAATGGCATCAACGAACGCAACATGAGGACCTTTGTTATAGGCATAAATCCAGAACCCCGTGAAATCCAACGAACAGAAGGGCCAGAACTTGACAAAACCCATTTATCAAGTAATTCGAGAGCGTATTCATGCCGGTGCCGTTTCATACACTTATATTTTACGCGAGGCCAGTATTGATAAAAGAAATTCTAAGTTACCCCGATTGTTGTGACCTACAATTGACTGATACGTTCGTCATGCATGTTTGTGGTTGGAGTAATTGATTGATTGATTGATGATTGACAGCTGCTGCTCAATGTCACACATACGCACTTACCTCAGACTAACTCTGTTGCAATATACAGCGGCTTCAGCCAATCGGGTGTTAGTATTGATCTGTGCACGCTCACTGATTCACTGACTGTTTGAATTCCTGCTTGATCGGGATTCAGATGTCGTGTACCGCTTGCTGCCTGTAGCCTACCACGTGTTGCTCACTTCTGCATACTTACCGGTTTACAAACTGACAACATGTGTG